CTTTTTACATATGAGTAAAGTGGAATTTGAACATAGAGTGAATTGGCAGGAAACATCATTCATGGCATCTGAATAATGCCATCTATAGTAAAGTGCAATCTGCACATGGGAAGCTTTTGGTATTCTCTAGCCATACCCAGTTAGGTAGGGATAGATACAGACGGAGAAAAATACAACCAGCAAAAATGAGATGATTTGCAATATCATTGATACCTGCTAATGAAAGCAGTCTGCCCTGCTGAACAAGCTCTTCCCATTGGTCTGGTAATTGTGTGTCAGATGCAATATTTTTTTTAAAGAAAGGCTAATAAGGCTGGCAGCGGCACTCAGGCTGTTTTGTGAGGTAGGGTAATCTTAAGTTTTTTGTGTTTAATGTTCATGAAAATTAATGTTCAGAAGTGTGTAAAACAAAAACACAAACAAACAAAAAACTTGATATATATGTCATGCCCCCCCAAGGATCCCTATACCAGTCTTTGAAGTCTTGTTTGAGTTATTAATAATAAACAGTGAAATATTCCATTACAATAGTAGAAAAATAGATGTACATACTATAGCAGCCAGAATATTTTAACCAGAATCCTTTAATGAGAACAAAGAGTGACATACTCATTGTTTAAAACTCATAACAGGGAATGAGGATGGAGAAGAGGCTGGGGGAAGAAGATGAAATATTGAAAGTGAAAGCAAGAGTTGGAAGAGAAATGAAATTTAGTTATATATAATGGAGATCAAAGTGGATGCAAAACAACAACAAAAAATGAATGATTGAATAAATGAAATGATTGAAAAAATGAATCATTAAATATAACCTGTAAAGCAAAGTGAGAAACTGGAAGGGTTTTGGAAATCCTTATAAGCACAATTCAAAGGAAATGCCCTTGATCAAGCAATAAGGACTGTAATAAAGAGAATTTTTTTAACTTCTGCCCCAAACAAGAAAAAGGGGTAAAATGGCATATATGCCGAAGAAAAGGTAAACTCCTAAAACTAGCCATAGAAGTGCACATAGGTATCCTTTAAAGCATTTAATTATATCTAAATATGTCCTCCTTAAAAAGAAAGGATCAGAATGGACTGACAAGACCAGAATTAAATATGATCAGCCATGTCCAGATGAGTGCAGACATTTGGTTCCCTGGGGGCAAGTAGCAGTGGTGCACCTTCCTGGGGAATGCCATGCCATGTGCACTTTGGCACAAAGCAAGTTACTTCAGGTGGGATGGGAAGGTTGGGGCCAGCACTGTGCTGGATATCCAGAGGTCAGAAAAAATGATATCCAGAGGTCAGAAAAAACCCACAGGGTGGGGAAGCAGAGCAGCACATGCATGGGCAGCATGCCCTTGCAGTGGTGAGTACACCTGACTGACGTATGTGGCACTTCAGATTGTCACAGGGCACTAAGGTGCCTGCTCCTTTAAGAGCAGAAACTGCCTAGACAGAGGCCCCTAAAAGTCAGCCAAGAACCCACAGGGTCAGCGGCGTCCAGCAGGACTATGTCTAAATATAAACTCAAAGGCAGCCTCCCTATATTATAATTATCAGCAAAACATTAGCAGGAGAGGAAAAGGGTGCCTGTTGGGCAAGATTGGCACGGTCATGGAGCCCTAGGGGTGTTGCAGCCATCCCTGGGGACCCCATCCAATGACAAAATGGTGCACTGGCCAGGAATCAAGGCTGTGCATAGGGAGGAACCCTGTGTCCCTATTTAGGGAAACGAACCTTTGGGCTAGTTTAGAATCAGCGAAGTGAAGTGTAAGACAGTGAGACTTGAGCTCAGGAAGAAGAGCTGAGGTTGGAAAAATACTGCTGTTATAGACAGTAGAGGGGAAGACTGTAGGTCCAGGTTAGGAAAGAAGTAGGGCCAAACAGAATCATGGCAGAGGTAGAGCCTCTGGAAGGTCTGCAGCAAGAAGCCTTCACCTGGCAGTTGTGGGTGGATGAAATAGTTGCTTGTCTAGAGTGTGAATTAGAAATGGTGAAGAATCAAAACGAGCAAGCCAAGGTAAAAGTGTTCACTTTAGAGCTATGGGTACAACCTGGAAAGAAAGAAGGCAGATCTAAAGAAATCAGGCACTTGATTGCTGATACAGAAAAGACTCGAGCTCCGGAATGGCTCATGGCTGATAAGGCCAAGAAGAGTAAATAGCGGGAGAAAAAATTGCAAGAGACGCAGAAGGAGATGGCTGCATGCAGGATCGAGTTTCCTGAACCCGGTATGGCCCATATGGTGGAACAAAAGGATCTTCTACAGAAGCTGGAAGTATCAAAATCCATTTTAGGGGCTCTACAGAAGGAACCACAGAGCCCAGAGGACCAGTTAAAGGAGTTGAACAAAGAGCATGAGAGCTGGCAAGAGCATTACTTACAGTCAGAATGCCTGGTGCAAGAGTTGTGAGAGAGGCTAATTGAGAGCCATACCCAGTCAGAGGAGACTGGGAAATCTATATCAAAATAAATGGAGAAAGAGAGAGGATACATGGTGAATCATGAGGCATTACAGGACCAGAAGCAGTCCCTTGAAACAGAGGTAAAAGCTGGAACTGAGGAGTGTGCAGCATTGTGAGCTCAGTGGCAAAGGGTAAAGATGGAAAAGGGCCAACTTGGGGAGAGATACAGTCCCTGAAGGCCCTTCTAGAAGAGGGCACAGCCAGGGAGATACAGTGCCAAACATTACAGACCACTCAACCATTGGAAGACAGACTGGTGGCAATAGGCATACAGATGGAAGAACAAACATCCGGGGCTGAAGTGGAATGCAAGGAGCACTTTTAGGAGCTCAAGGGCTTGAAAGAGTTCTTAAGAGAGACTGAAAAACTGATAGAGACTGCATGGCTCATATTCCTAAAGGTCCAGGGAGACCAAGAATTGTCCAGAAATGCTGGCCCGGGAAGCCCCAGAGACGAGAGGACAGCAGAGCAACAGGAGAAGAATACAATGCTGGAGGGACCTTTAGAAACAGATCCTATGACAATGTGGGAAGAAATTATCCCCACAGTCAAAGATTACCTGGATTGGAAATGGGGTCAGTGGGTAAGCCAGTAGACAGAGGACATAAACCACCTAAGAGAGAAGCTAGAAAGACTTGCTAGCAGGTATGACACTGGGATATTGACAGTGCCAAATAGGCACAACAGATGGAAGCAGATAAGGCGGATATGGCAGCAGTGCAGAAGAATGAGCAGTTCAGTACAAGAAGCAGGAACAGTGATCAGAGTTGCCAAGGGCACTCTCAGAAGGGGCAACATCCAAAACAAAAAGGCCAGAGACCAAAGATGGCCCAGGCCCTGGCAGACAGTAGACCAGAGGCCCCTAGCAGTCAGTCAAGAACCCACAGGGTTAGTGGGGTCCAGCAGGACTGTGCCTAAATATAAACTTGAGGGCAGCCTCCCTATATTATAATTACAAGCAATACATGGCAGAAGAGGAAAAGGGTGCCCGTTGGGCAAGATGGGCATGGTCACAGAACCCTAGGGGTGTCACGGCCATCCCTGGGGACCCCATCCCATGACACAGATGTGTTTGTGGTGCCACATACCTCACAGACATGCTCATCTGGACATGCCCATCATGGGCATAAGTGTTTATAGCATCAGACCAGGATGTGTACTTACTACCAAAGGCTCAATGAAATGATTGGTCTGACATTCTGTAAGTCACAAGTTTAATGAGATTGATGACAAGTAGTCACCTGGGCTGAGTATCACGGGTACAATATGAAGTCAAATTCAAGGACTAAGATTATAGGGATGGAATTTTTACTTTAGATTATTGACAGCAAGTAAAAGGAGAACCAATACAAGCCCCCTCCCTCCACCCCTACCTTTGCGGGGGAGGGGTGTATGGAGTGGGGGGTTTAAGGGATTGAGCAAATCTTTGAAGTTTAGCTTTTTATAGACTTTAATATTTCTCTTCACTAACTTGCAATATCATGTAACATACTGGGAAAGCAAAATGGACAATATTTGAATAAAAATTAGTTCAGGCATTATTCTATACCCAGGGAAATCAACAAGAGGGCTTTATGGACTTGAGATTTAGCGGCTGGAAGTGCAAACAATAGATTTCAAAAGAACCAGTTATTTAGTTTGGTACAATAGCTAGTTATACTGCTTGAGACTCTCTCCCTTAAATATCCTCATAAATTTTTTCAAAAGTGGATAGAGACTGCAGGGGATTCAATAAGTGCTGCTGCTGTTGCCATGGTGGCTGCTATAGCTGTTGCCACTTTTCTGGTCACCACCACTCACCACCTGCTGGTGCTGCCACCTAGAGTACCAAATCTTCTTATGGTTCTGTCTCAAATGAGTAAGTTTGTTATATGAAAAATCAGACCCAATGTATTGTTAATGGAAGCTTCCAATGTTGCTCTTAGCCAGAAGAACTTAGAAACTTTAAAACTAAGGTTTACAGGAAGAGTTAAGGATGATGAAAACTGCAGTGTATTACTTGTTGCCCATCGACAAGCAAAGGTTGGATGTCACTATTTTATAGGTCTTTACTGTACCCGTGAAGTCTGGTAAATCTTCCTTTTTTTGAGGAAAGCAGGAATACATCCCAAATGAAGATGTGATATGATAAAGTGGTAGTAATATAAAGGGAGTAGAGAGGTGGAAGGGCAAGACTTACAACAGTGAACCAGTGTGCAGAATTTGATTATTCATTTGATTTGCAAGGAAGGAAAACTTTGCAGATAATGGTACTTTTGGGGAAGTCTGAGTTTTATAGGACTTGCAGGGCATACATTTTTAAGGAATATATTTAAAGCACGATAAATTTAGGCATTAAGAAAAATCTGGATATATAAGAAGTTGAGTAAGGTTTTGGACACACAGACACACCCTTAGCATTACAGAATAAAAGGAACAGACATAATGCACAGCCCTACGTCAGTTTAACCTGTTTGAACCTGATATATATTTGTATACCAGGAAAACTAAGGGGTAAAATTATAACAGCAAAAGTTACACTGGGGCAAGTGTCATGTGACTGCATCTATCCTGAAGCAGTTGTTTGCTACATGTAAACCTGCTTTCCAGCCACCTAGGCTGCCTATCCATGTTCTCCAATGTGTTGTAATTTGAATGTGTCAGAGCAGACTTGATAGAGTCTGTTTCATGTTCTAATTTGAATGCTGCTACGTCATTGTAGTGTCACATGTATTAAGCCCCCACACATTTAAAAATGGCTTTGGGGCACTTAAACCTTACTAGACAAGGTTTAGTTAAGGTAAAGCATCCTGCAGCCATTTTTTAAATGTGCAGGGGCTTAATACATGTGACACTGCCACATTTTAATTAAAGGAACTGGCTGGAAGCTACTCTAATTAAAACACCTCCTCCCCCATCTCCAAGCACGTGTAGAGTAGAGCTGTACAAAATTTTGTCAGGTGTTTCATTTCAAAGCTATTTCAATGTGTTTCGAGCTCAAAACAATGAAATCACAATGAAACAAGAGCCTTTGAAACAGTTTTGAAATGAAATGAGGGCACTCGAAATGCTTTGAAGCTGGGCTTACTTGCCTGGCTTCAGCATCAGTTCCAACAAGCAGCGGCAGCCTCCTGTCATCCTTCACGTAGATCCAGGGCCCAACCCCCCAGGAGGAGTCTGGCACAGCCCCGCAACCCTCCTGGGGGCGCGGGCCCCCAGATCTGTATGCCAGACGACAGAAGGCTGCCACTGCCACCTGGGACCAGTGCTGGGTGCAGCCCAAGCCCAGCACCAGGAACACAGCTGCTGCTGCTAGTCCTAGAGAGTCCTGTCATCCCACATGCAAATCTGGGAGACTATATTCCCGGGAGGGCTGTTGGGCTGAACTCCATAGGGCTGGCAGAGCTGCTCAGATTGCATCTTGGTGGCAGGAGGTGGGGGAGAGCCAGGGCTGCGCTCCACCAGCCCCATGGCACTCAGCCCAGTGGCAGGAGGTGGGGGAGAGCCAGTGGTGGAGCTGCTCTGAGTGCAGCCCTGGCTCTGAGCGCAGCCCCAGTTAGTGGCTCTCCCCCACCTCCTGCCACTGAGCTATACTCTGACTGGCTCTGCTAAACCAATGGAGCTGAGCCCGGCGGTGGGAGGTGGGGGAGAGCCGCTGACCAGGGCTGTGCTCGGACCCATGACTGTGCTCCGAGCAGCTCCGCCACTGGATCTCCGCCACCTTCTGCTACTAGACTCAGCTCCATGGGGCTGCAGAGCCTCCAGTTGCCAGGCTGTGCTCACCAGGGCTGTACTCCAAACAGCTTCTCCATCCCCATGGAGCTCAGCCCAGTGGTGGGAGGTGGGAAAGAGCTGAGTCGGCCCTGGCCAGTGGCTCTCCCCCACCTCCCACCACTGACCTGAACTTTGTGGGGCTGGCAGAGTGCAGCCCTGGCTCTCCCCTGCCTCCTGCCATCAGGCTGTACTCTGAGTGGCTCTGCCAGCCCCACAGATCAGAGCCCTACAGCCCTCTTGGGGGTGCGAGTCCCCAGATCTGTATTCACGATGACAGGAGGCTGCTGCTGCTGCTTGGGTCCAGCAGCAGCAGCTGTCTCCCTGGTGATAGGCACAACCTGCGCCCAGTGCTGGTTCCAGGTGGCAGCCTCCTGTTGTCCTGAGCACAGATTCAGGGGCCTTTACCCCCAGGAGGAGTCTGGCACAATCTCCACAGCCTCAGATCTGTGCACGGGATGACAGGTGGCTGCTGCTGCCGTCAAGTGACACAAGTTTTGCTCATCAGCAGATTGAGGTGCAGTTTCACCAGAAACCCCTACACCTATTTCCCTGAATCTTGGCAGACTTCATGCCCTTAGGAGGGGCTACCATCCCTTCACATTTCATCTGAATTGGGCAGGATATCACAAACTAATAGGCATTTTCATGATTCCCCATTACAGCCTATGAGCAAAACGTCAAGGCAGTGAATCAGTTTCAATGAAACAGAACAGTGCTTCAAAATGAAATGAAATGATGACACGAACCACCGTCCCTTTGAAATGGTGAAACAGAAGTCAAAACAGAACAGTGCTGTTTCACACAGCCCTCATGTATAGGCAGCCCCAGTGCCTAACCATTGTAACGGAACATAACTAAGTAGACACCCAGGCTAGGTATAGACTTTCAAAAAGCCTGAGGTAGAATCAATTTAAGTTATGTGATTTCCTGTAAGTACCATAGTTTATATCAGTAGTGAACAGAACACTGAAGACCTTTGCGGGGGAACAAATCTTAGACTGGGTTCTGCCATTTTTAAACCAGTCTGTGTGCTGAACTTCTCTTTTATTATGGGTATAGGCAGGTGTTGTATGCTGGATTCCCGTATAGACTGGTATCCAATCACTTACACTGGTAAAAGCACAATGTTTGTACCTAGCTCCATTCAGCAGTTCATCTGGCATGTTTCACATCCTGGTACATCTAACGTTAGTGTGAAAAAAATGATGCAAATTACATGGGTATCAATGTATTATGCATTTAGGATCTAATTGTGTTGCTTTATTATGCCACTTATGGGTTGGACAGTATAACCGTCATGCATTGTTACTGTGATATTGTACTGGTAACTGATTTCCTCATGATATTGAAGCATGAAAAAAGTATTATAATAAGCCTGCATTGTTATGCACTATTGTAGGAAGATGCTAGTTAGGGGAAATTAATGAATATATAACTACCTTATTTCCTAAGAAAACATGTATGAATCAAATCGTGGATTTCTGTGGAATGTGTTTTGAAGACATAATTATTAAATTTGGAATCAGATAGGCAGCTTTTTGATCCAAGCTAATGTGCCAGTTATTCAATGCCATAATGGATACTATGCTCTTTCAGTAAGTCACTGTCCCTTGTAGGTCACGCTTAATGACACTTTAATGTATTCAGATTAACACGCTTAAGTGTAATATTAGAGTGTGTTCTCTTTATGTCAAAATGCTTGTTTCTGACATAAACCATCCAACTGTGAGACAGCTGCCGTACTACAGTGCCAATCGGTATATGAACCTCGGTTTGTGTCCCAGAAGACCAAATCATCCTGATAAAAAGGTAGCAGTAAGCAGTTATTTTTTAAAAATTGTATTAACTTGTTTATACTTAAAATGGTGTCAACCCAGAAAATGGAATCAGAAACAGTTTATAAAAAAAAAAAAAATTGTTAGGGATGTAATCATTGCTCTGCTCTCCAAATAATACATTTAAAAACACAGCTAAGCTCCTAGCATGCTAAAAGCTCCCCCTGCTGTTGAAGAACTATTTAGAGCCAAGGCTTGCATTCTATTTTCTAAAGAAAAAGCAGAGCCGCAATTCTATAAACCTACTAGTCACCAGAAAAACACTCCTTTAAATGATGGCACCTACAATTCAAAAAATAAAAAGTAATGTCTGTGGTGGTGGTCTTAAAATGTACTGCAAGAATAATGGGATGAGAAAAAAATCGCAATGAGTACCAGTGCCTTTTTCCCCCCTGCTTTACCTACCCCCCTCCCTTCCCTGGTTCACCGTTTTGTTTTTCTAATTTCTACCTATTTACATTCTCACTGACATCCTGACACACTTTTAGCTTCTCTCATTCCTTGGAGTCTCAGACCAGTAGATAATTCCTATGCCTGAAGAAGGATGACTGCACGAGAAAGGTTGCTAAGAACTTTTTTTCCAGCTACTCAGTTGGTCTAATAAAAGATATCACATTTACTCAAAGAAACTTGTCTGACGATACTGATCCAATGAAGCAAAATGAGGAAGAACAAAGCAACTGTTTTATTTTTGTTGCACCACTATTTTAGAACTCTAGTAATAATGTACATATGAATATTTCCTGTTTTTACCAATGTATCTTTCATAATTATGCTGTAGTTTGAGATGCATCATAGAAAGTTTTCTTCTATATGTCAGAACATGATAGATTCGTATTAGCTTCTCTGGGTATTAACTCAGTTAAAGTCAGTGGCATATAAGCATAAATATCAGCACCTCTGAAAATCAGAGCAATTATTATTCATAATTACGCAAATTATTTTATAATAAGGTTATAGATTTTGTGGCAGGATGAATTCTGTAAAAATAATAATAATGATGCACAAGGAAAAATACAACCCCTAAACAGCTAGTATAATGCATGGTATTCAGTAAATGAAGTGCAATTTTGTTTAAAGGGTTTGTAGGAAGGTTAAATGAAGGTACCAGGTCTTTAATATAATAATAAATGGTATTGAGGTAAAAGGCCTGAGGCCCAGAATTGTTAGGACACTGAAAGAGTCTAAGCCCTGGGTGGCAGCAGGGTCTGGCCTGGCTGTGACAGTGGCTGCTGTTCTTGTGCTAAGTGGATACTAGGGCTGGTGCCCAGGTCATCTGTTTCTTCTTATGCTACTGAAATGTATCCTGCTTGTAAATGGACTGAATTTTGTTCTTTCCTGTCCTGTCAGGCCTCTTCTGTTTGTCTTCAAAGTGCCGGCCTGTGAGCAACAAAGTGCCTGACTCTGCTTTATGCCACTGCCTATGAACTACCACAGCTAGAAATGTGTGCACTGTGAATACAGGCCTTGGAATAGGCAAAGCATCCTTATCAGGATCAAAGTAACCCAGAACCAGTACATAAAGTGGGAATGAGTTAAACAGTTGGTGCTTATGAACTGGAAAAGGTACTAGCAGAGGAAGCAGGCAGTTTAGAGAGAGGAATAACTGGATAAATGGTAAAATAATATTTTAAAACATGAAGAGAGATGCTGTGGAATTTTGGATAAATAAAGCAATAAGGAAAACTGGTAGGCAGTTGAAAGATCTGAATCTCCTCGGCTTGTAATATAGCATGCCGGCCTGTGATCCATCCCGTCCACCTTGGAGTGAGAGTTTCAATGTGTGATGGAGCTGCTTCTGGTAATGTGCACTAGGGTGCCTATATATGAGCCCAGACATTGCTCTGTTGTGCTGTTAATCAACTCTGCTGGAGCGTGGTAATTGCTGTGCTCCAGCCAGCCTCTGTGTCTTGTGTATCAGCATCCCTTCACTTCAAAATGGTAGTGGGGGTGATTTATCTGCAGCTTATTTGAGCTATACAGTGCCCCCGCTGCCATTCTGAAATGTGGGGAAGCTGACACATGAGATGCTCTGGGCACTTTATTTGGAGCACTCCCCACCCCTCCAAGCCACCCCGCGCCTGGAATATATTTAAAATGCCCTTAGTTTCTATTCCAGATTCTTTCACTAAGTTACTGGGTAACTTGGGAGCAAATTCAGTTCCCATTTTCTGGCTAAGCTGCATCATTTGTTAAATGTGGATGAGGAAGCATATATTGCTTTGTTGTAATTTGAAATCAATAGATGAAAACTTCTGTGCAAGTAAGTATAGCATGCAGCTGTCTTGGGATTTTCCTGTGAAAATTTTATTTTGGCTGAAGAAATAGAAAGAATGCAGCTTTTTCAACTTTGTATCTGGAAAATCCAAACAAAATATTTCATGTCAGGTTGACCCAAAGCAAAATAGCTTCACTTTGTTAAATTAAATCAGAATTGCAGTTTTGGGTCAGTGCTCATGTGAATTACAGCAATATCTCAAGAGCTCTATAGTTTTGGAGGGCTTCATGCCCATTCTCTTAGTCTAGAGCAGCAGTTCCCAAACTCTGACAGATTGTGCACCACTAATTTAACATGATACAACCTTAAGTATCGCCAGCACATTTTTCAGTTCAACTTTAAATACCACCAGCCAGTGTTTGTCATATAAAGTAATTATAATAACTTTGTTAATGTATACCACTGATGGGCTGTTTGTGTACCACTGGTTGTAGGCCTACCACAGTTTGGGAACTGTTGTTCTAGAGCTAAGCCTATGCAAGTTTAAAGGGTGCCTGTACATGAGCCAGGAGGCTGCACTGACATGCTGTATTTACGGGGTATCAGAGCAGACCCCACACTTCAAAATGGCAGCAGGGGTGCTTTAAATAAAGCTCATTAGAGCTTTAGATAAAGTACTCTCACCACCATTTTGAATCGTGGGGATGCTGATATATGAGATGCTCTAGTTGCTTTCATTAGAGTGGTTCTGAGAGCCCCTCTAATTTAAAGAACCGCCCTCCCACTGCTACCACCCCTGGAGCACGTTAAAATGCCCGTAGATTGGAAGAGACTGTTCTAGTACCCCAGGGTGCTCTACATGAAGTTGAATTCATAGGATTTAAGGAATACAGCATAAACTGTATTGAGAGCAAAAAAAGTACAAGCAGCTTTGTGCTAGCGGTCCACAAGTTTGGGGGTTTTTGTTTTTTTTTAAGGCTGTGGGCTGGAATAACCCAGCTTGAGTCAGTGGTGGGCTGCTGCCATCACTTACTGTGTGACTGCTTGTGCTGTCACACGGTAAGTGATGGCAGCAGCAAGGGTTGTTTTAGTTTGGTAAGCATGAAATTGGAGTTGTTATAACTATTGTAAAAGTAGCTTTGAGATCAATTGGCATGAAAGTAAAACTGAGTTAATTGATTAAAAGGTATCACTGGTACACACAGATGTAACCTCATCTGCCTGAATATCTGGGCATCTATCTGTATTTATCCACCAGTGTCTACCCATTCCTTATGCAGACAGACTATGAATCCTTAAAATCCAGTGAAATGTTTCAAAATTACTTGTGATGGCCTTATTTTTTGTATTTAAATATTTTTCTATTATATAGTATATGCCTTATTCCTGACGTATTTAGTCTTGTACATTATACTTGTAGCTGTATTCCTTTCTTGTGTGACAGGGTGGTCAGAAAACATGATGCTGATCTTTTTTCTTTTTTTTTTTCTTTTCTTTTTCTCATGGCCATACCTCATTTCAGCTGACAACCCCTGTATTTTTTTTTAATTATTATTATTCATTTATTTCCTTACTGGACTCTTATGCTTTGCATACTGGAAAGCACTTCTTTTTTTTTTTTTTGCTCAAAACATCCAGAAGTATTTTGCTATTTAACCTTTCTTCTTAATTCTGAATCACTTAAATCAGTGAAACCTTGCCTATTGTGACAGTGTTTGACAGGAATCTGTATGGGAGGCAAGGAGGATTTACAGGCCTATTACAAAAGGTTGGTATTAGAGGCCTTTGTTTTTTTTAAAGTCTCCTTCCTAAAAATCTCTGTCTTCCCCCTCCCCTCCCCCCCCCC